ACTGCTGCTGCTACTACTACTACTACTACTACTACTGCTACTACTACTGCCACTACCACCACGACGACTACTACTACTACTACTACTCCTGCTACTGCTACTGCTACTGCTACTGCTACTACTACTACAACAACTACTACTACTACTACTACTGCTACAAACTAGTACTTTTGCACTTTGCATCGCAGCAACGAGATCCGCAGCTATGCGTCCGACGACCAGAACCATTCACTTCCGGCTGACGGCCGCATGTGCATCGGCATTGTCATTTCTCTAAAAGATGGGTGATGGAGCCCCGTGTCGAAACACCAAGCAGGCTCCACAAACTACAAACCAATTGGCATTCACGATTTCGCAGACAGCTTCGTTCAATATCAAGCCATCCTTCTGAGACCTATGACATAACCACAAGTATTGATCTCCGGCAAGTTTCACGAATGGCATCGTTGTCATCAGTATCATGAAACACCGAAAGATTGCCATCGCCGCTTGGGCCACTCAGAGCAGCTCTTTAGTGACCTGTCAGCAGCCCATTGCCAAAGTGATAAATCACCCCCATCACCTGGTAGCGAATCATATGCACAGAGGTGTTCAAGCTGCTTTGAAAGCATCGCAAAAGTACCAACTCATCGGGCGGAACTCCAACCTTTCGAAAAGTCATTGATTGCACCACTTTCATTCCTTTTGAAGTGCTTCAGCCAAAGAAAAAGCAGTGCTGGAGGATTCGTCAATGCATGTGTAGAAGCTTGAATGCACCAATCATAAATGCAACGTTGCAAGCTCCGACCTGTGATGCCAATGGGCAGACTCTGTCACCCAAACGAGGATCTTCAATCAATTGTCCAGGGTCCCGAGCTCCATTTATCGAGGATGAAGCCAATGAAATCGGAAACATCATGCTGGCTGTGGAGACGCTGCCAACCCGACAACACTTGCTGCCAAGGCAGAAGAGCAGGGAGCAACATCGCGCCTGATCTTTTCAAGCATCGCATGGCCACTGGCAGCCTGCCATAGGAAAAATGCGAGTCCAGTCCACTGCCATTCCAAAACAGGAGAAAGCTGCTGGACTTGACATAGCATATAGAGAAGAAGCACTGCACAAGGCAAGGTCCCACGCCTCGAAGGAGTTCGTCGCTCTCCTTCTCCTGCTCTGCGAAATCCTTCTCCTTCTCCGCTTGGGCATCGCGTTGCGATGGAAGGCATGCAGCTGGAGAATTTCCGGCTTATACTTACTGGCTTATACATTGATGCCCCTGCCTGCGTAGACAACTCTGCCCAGCAACCTTGTAGGAAGAAAGCCACTGCCACAATACCAAAAAGGAAACAGAGACACGGCCTCCTCAAGAAGATCCCGTGCACGGGCTTTCTGCTTCGTCTGATTGACTGTCTTGGACCAGCAGTGTCGCTTGAAATAAGCCACCAACTTGTCTTGGAACAGCAAGGTCATCTTGGCCTTCTCTCTGCTACGGTTGGTCCTGCATGTACAAAGGCCATCCCGAAAGCAGTTGGACGCGACGAACATGTTGGCCAACACGTCCTTGTGAAATTCAATCTTCGGTTGCTGTCGTGGGCTGCCTGCAGGGCGACTTCACTGTGTGCGCACCTGCCCTCTTGGAGGAATGCGCGGCAGCCGCACGCGGGGGTTCTGCCCTCGCAGTGGACCCACACCCGGTTGTCTCAACCGGTCTTTCGGGAGGTCACCTCAAACGTCGCTTCTCCGCTGACCAACTGGGTCAACTTGGAGTCGTGAGAGGTGTTCCCGTTGAATGCGTGTGCCAGTCGGTTCAAAACGGTGTGGGCCGTAAACCAGAGGACCGTCGCGCTCATAACCAGAACCGCGACGGCCACTGCCCTGCCCCCGACCTGAACGGTCCGCCGAGCCTCCGAGCCGGCCTCTCCTATCACTTCGGCAGACGTGATAGCGACGGCTGTCAGGGTCTCATCCATCACGTTAGGAGTGCCGTGTCAGGCAACCTCTATGGGAAGCTTATTTTAGTGCCAAAAGAGTGATATAAAAGTGGCAAGATGTAGTATTAGTTCCTGGAGCCATCACAAGGAAGCCTTCAATAGTAGACTGTATTTCAGGAACTGTTGTACGTCATGGCATGCCGGGCAAAGTCGGAGAGTCTAGTCTTTAGGTTTGCGTGAAATCTTCATGAAAGCATCCCGTAGACCGGTTGTGACTTGACAAGCCCGTGCATTTTTCTCCCATATCAGAGCCCGCGCACAGCCGAGCAAAGACAGTCAGCGGCAGTTTTCCGCGCGACTGGTTTGTGCCAGTCGCCCTTCTCAGAGCCGGCCGGCACTTGTGTTCTGCACAGCTGTGCAGCCCCATGAGCAGCCGGCATGCGGACCTTGTTCGGTCGCGGACGTGCCCGTAAAGTGCACGGTCCGCGGCCCTTTTTCGAGGTTTCCGTTGTGACGAGCTTAGCCGTAGAAGCTAGGTTGTACCTGGCATGAGCCGTAGCCTAGCTGCACCCTACTCTAAGAGCAGCTCGAAGTCGTAGTGGCAGACACAAACAGCTCTCCTCCTTGCAAAACGAAGGCCTTGGGCGCCCTGTGTTGGGAGGGTCTTTGAAGGTGGGAGGTTGTAAGAGGGTAGGTGCGTCGTTTGCGTCGTACGCTACGGCACGCGCGCTTTGCAGGCATCGCCCATGCCGCAAGCCTAGTGCGGGCTTGCCCAAGCCGCACCGTACCCCACCTCAAGGAGACTTTCAGGAGCCTCGGCTGAGGGGCGGCTGTCAGCCGCCATTGGCTCAAGCCTTGAGCTTGAGATGCAACTTGCTTTCTAGGTTGTGCCAAGTGCGCACGGCTGACAGTAGGCCAGTGTAGCTCTGTGAGCTGCAGGCCTGCGGTTGGACCGTCAGCGCAGCCTGCCTAGGGCTGGCAGCGCTCAGACTCGCGAAGCCGATAAAACAGCGGGGCTGTCCATGATTGCTTTGGCAAGTCCGGTATAGCCGGCTTCAGATACTACAGACTAACTTCCAAGTACTATTAATTACTATTACTACCACTACTACTAGTACTACTACTGCTACAACTACGACTCCAACTGCGACTACTACTGCTGCTGCTACTAATGCTACAGAAATGCCACTACTACTACGACGACGACGACGACGGCGGCGACTACTGCGCGAAGCCTGGCCCGGAAAAGTCCAAGGGCTTCTCTGTCTAGCATGAACAATGCCACATTCAAGCACTAGTTACTAGTTGTAGCTGGAAACAGGCTGGAAACAAACGGTAATCACCTGCATTTGCGCGAACCATATTATTGAGAAGCACACCGTCAGTTCACTGCTGTTTTCGCCCTCAGCGGTTCGAGCTTGTCAAGCTGCAACCCCAGTAGCATTTTGCTTCTGGCCAGACTGCAATAACTGTTGGACGAACTGTGCTTCATCAGTTCACTTTCCTGATCGGCCAAAACTTCGCAATGTCGTCGAACAAACACGACAATGCCGACTCCGTTAGTTACCCTGCTTGCTGCACCTGTTATAACCCCTTTCGCGTCCTCACCGACTCTAACTGAGCATAGTTGGACTGACTGGCAGCCCTTTGCAAGGCTATGCATGCCTTTGCCACGGCGGAGCACACACTTCGATGTGCTCCAGGAATTCACTGCATCGTGCAACACTCATCTGCCTGCGACATGACTTTGCTCACATCAGCGCGGCCACGAAGCCTGAGTGTTTACTGGCTGCATCAATAAGCATAGCAACCTCTGAAGCAACGTGGCTGGAGCAGTTGATTCTAAGCCTTGTGCGCGGGCGCTCATGCAATCAGGCCGGCTGCGTGAAGGCAAGTCACCCTTGCAAGAATTTGGCCTGTTGCATTGTCGTGATGGTCCCGGGCCGGCACATTCGTAACCATGGCAAGAGAATCCTCGAGCATTTCAACTTTCCCTGCAGCGACCTCTCTGACTCTCACTGGCTTTCACGCCAGATCATGCTCGACTAGAGGCTCGCCGGGGACATCAAATCTCTGGATGGCCAGGACGGCAGCACAAACGCCAGAGCGCCCAAAGCCCGCCTGAACGGCTGCGTTTGCAGCGACGAAAACTCGTCGACCGCGTTAGACTTTGTTTTTTTTTCCTCTCGCATGGCTAAGGATCTATGCCCACAAGCGAGGTGTTTTTGGGAAAAACTTTGGGACAACAAGTAGTACCTTGGTTTGGTTTTTGGAACATGCACCAAGGTCCAATGCCCTGAGCGTCTGCAAGGATTTTGGACTCTGGAACTGTAAAGAGCACCGACGTGGCGGGATGGTGCTCTGTGCAAGAGCGCTTCTCATCTGTCGGCCAAATCTCATAGGAGCACAATCCTAATCAAGAACTGTCTAAGAGTCTAATAAAACAACAATTTCAATCGCGGAGCAACGAGTCAATGTCACGCGATGTCGCCGTAACTCGCTGACCAGACAAATCATGACAACAGCCAAAGCCGGCAGTCCGGTGAGCCCACCTTGCAGTGAAAAGCTATGGCCTCCTTCTCTCGGATGCCAGCACAACCATCTATGACTTTCTTCAGCACGTCCTGAAATCTTGCTGGACTGCAACACTGCATCTGTCAAGTCCTGGTGCCGCCTGGCCTTGGGAGGTACACCTCCCTGCGTATCGTCGTAAGCTGCTTGGACATGGGTCATCCCGAGATCCATGAAGAGGTTTGGGTCATAGCTCTTGTTGAGACCTCGGCATGCAAAAACGTTGGGATACCTCTGTGTGACTGAGAACCCTCTCTGCATGTGAAGCCTGCCTGATTCTCTGTCCTTGTTCAGTCGCACCAACGTGGTGACGTTGTTGGACTCGAACCAAGAGAAAAAGTTCGGCGAATCTGGAGGGACAAGATGACTGGCTGTGGCTGGATCCGGGTCCAATGCTGTCGTGACCTGGCCCAGAAAAACTCAGTCATTCTCCGCACGTTTGGAGCTACGACTAGACTAGGCGCCCCACAGGATCAGCAAAAAGGAGAATTTGGCCGGGAATGACCCAAGCGGCATCCCACTCAGCACACAAATCCCTGAATGCCTCAGCTCTTGACTGTCTGCATGCTCATACTCGAACAACCATAACTCGTTGCAAAGCAAGGCCAAGTCAAGCAACTCGGACGTTGAAATGCTCCACCTCCAACCATTTCTGCCTCGGGCGGCACCAATTGGCGCAAACACGCTGCACGCATGCTTGACGCACTGGGTTGCCGCACCTGATTGCCAAGTCCAAGGCCTCCAAACACTTTTCCAAAGACAGGTGTCTGGGAGGTGCTGGCTTGTGCAGCGGAGCCCAGGAATGCTGCCTCAGGATTCTACTACGCAAGCGATCTCGTAGGATTGCTGCAATTGATACACACAAGACACCTCATGCAAGCCTTCCTGGTGTTCACTCCAAAATATTTGTGAACAAGGAGCCGGAATCCGACTTCATGCCCAGTCCAAACAGACACAGCAGCATCCAGGGTGCATCCTTTCCTCAGGTTGCAGACGTCACTGCGCGAAAATTTTGGAACAATGTCCGTTGTAACTTGAGGTCGGCGTCATCAGCAAAGGATACGCAGCGGTGCAGAGTGCCGAAAAGGCCCTGTGCGAGGCAAACTTCTCGCCAGCGGGACACACCACCAAGACTTTCTTCTTTGCCTGGTGCAAAGGCGTCGGTACGAAAGGAACAGGTGGAAAGCAGAACAAACGATGGTGCCTGCAACTTCTCATGAAGGAGGCGACTGGACTCTACAATTTGGTCAAGAGCTGGCGGTCCGTCATCGTGGTAGTATCCTTGACAGGGTCAGTTGACGCAGCACTAGCTTCCAACCTTCGTACCCGACGAACGAAGTGAACACAGGCTCTGCGAATGCCAAGAGCATGAAATCTGAACCATCCTGATGTGCAGGTGCCAACCAAGGTAGGTGTACGTAAACCTTGCCCCCATTATGTACCACGTCTCAACCTGCCAAGCCAGGCAACCATCAACGACGTAGTGTGGCACTTGGTAAGCACCCTTGTGCACACATGCTTCGTTGAGGAAGCAAACCACATCAACATCTCCAGATTCGTCAGTCACCTGGAAAGGAATCGAGCTTGAAGCATCTGGGTTTTCTGCATGTCACTGGTATTTCGTTTGTGCACTCTCTGGCGCACCGTGGGCTTCCACATGCCATTGCCCTGCACACACGCCACATCATCCGCCCAGCGCAGATCTGCCCCCAGCACGTTCACAATCGGCATGGGCAAACAGCAAAAGCAAGCAGCAGGCTGAACTTTGTGGCAAAAGACTGTTCGGTTGCTTCCCTAGCGCTGCGGCATAGTCGCTAGCAGTCATTGCAGCTTCAGACACTAGCCTGCGGCTTGAGTGGTGGAAAACGGCAGTCGTGGGCACAGGACGATATGTCGCTTCATCATCATGCCCCGTACCCCCGCTTGCACAAGAGAGGGAAGGGGAGGGGAGAGGAGGGGAGGGGAGGGGGCCTGCCTTGATTATGTTTTTTGCCACATAGATTGTCTGAGATTCTTGGCTACGCTTGACAATCAGTTGCTGGCACCTCCAGGCGTGGAGCCGGGAATGGAACAGCTCTGCTTGCAGCTGCCTCGTGCACACAATCATGAGCATTGCGACACAGGTTCAGGAGGTGTTTCAAGCAGAACTGTGATGCATTGGCGAGACAAAGCTTAAACTAAACGCATTTGGTCTCACTTCCAAAACTTTGCCACTTATCCATAGTTCCAAATCCTACACTATCTCCTGCTGACATGCAGGAACGTAAGCGACCGCGACTGGCCGCTCGACCGACAGTGAAGATGTTCAGCAAGCTTTCTCACGACTTGCTTCGCAGCAACTGTTCGAGCTGCCGGCATTCATGAATCGGCATGCATTCCTTGGTGCAGTTCTTGGTGTCCAGAGATCATCTTCCACAGGCTGCATGCATCCAGGTGACTCTGTTTCACATGTCTAGTCGAGGCACGCAAAGGAAACGTAAATGCAGCTGTTTGCAGAGTGCTTTAGAATTTGAAACGTTGGTTTGCTTTCATTTCACTGCTGCTTGGCATCTGAACACGATGGCGTGGCTAAGTCCGAGAAACTTTGAGGCATGCCCCGGCCCTCTGCATTTGGTGGGACATGGGGATCCTGAGCCAGCGCAGGCCCTTCACAGAACGCGAGCTCTGCTGCGACTCTGTGAGGCAACACGGAAGAGCCATAGCTTCTTCAATAGCACCCTTCTTTTGTCAGCCTCGCTTATCTTCAACGCTTCCACTATCCTTCCGGAATTGGATCTGCGCCCCTCGCTGTTGGACTCCTGGCTAGTGCCGTGGACAGGGTGATTCTGAGTTGCCGGCTGCGGCGATCCAAAGCCCCACAGTCAACTACCCGGAGTGATTTGTGTCCTTGAAGGTTGGCAGCATTTCTGTCTCCTGAGGCAAAGGAACCTCCCGATCGTGCCCGCGGCGCACACTTCTTTACCAGTCATACCAGCCAGTCTACAAAGGGAAGCCCTGCCTCGACAAAGTACGCGTGCTGCTGGGCAACTTCAGCAGAAGAGCGCCTGCAGGCAATGCTTCGTTGCATGACGACCTCGAGAAAGTGTGCACGAAGGAAGCCAACAAGGCCTGTCTGGGCAAAGCTGCAAGAGGGATTGCAGCAAGTCCAAACCCAAGGCTGATAGACTTCCATGCTCGGCAAGAACCTCCCAGCCTGGCGAGATGCAAACCACGTTTCGTGAGTCTCTTTCAATGGAGACCTCGCAAACGGGGACATTAATAGACTTGCACATAGCATTGTAGCAGGTCAGCTCCGTGCATACGGGTATGTACATGTTGCCATGTAGGGGGTGAGCTCCTGCAGGCATCACGTGGCGTGCCTGTGCAGCTACGAACCTCGAGGCTGCGCTCATGCATGCCGCACACTGTGGGCTGCACGGCCGATATGCGTCTTGTGCGAGTGTCTGGAGGTGCATGCAGGGAATGTGCGAACGCATCCATGCACACACATGCTGCCAAGCTATACTATACCACAACAAGCCCTGCGCGCATCCATATCAGATGTAAGAATGGATGTAAACTGCTGAGGGCCCCGGGCGAGGGGAATTGCAAAGGCACGTAGCCATTGGGCTTGGCACAGGGCTCGTTTCTTAGAATGGCTGCATGGCAACACTGTCAGGCATAGGCATGAAGCTCAGGAGATGCTGGCGGCTCATGGTGAGAGCAATTTCCTCAAAGCTTTCCATGCTGTTGACTTCGAGAAGATTCGAGGTTTCCTTGCCGTCGGTCCGGGTCACAGAAACGTCCTCTTGGGCTCGGTTGTCAAGTGACATGTGGCTGTTCAAGAGTGGCGGGCGGGCCCTGGCCATTGTTCGCTCTGTAGCAATGCGCCTGGCACGTTTGCTCATTTGATGTGGCACTGTCCGCGCACTGCTGCAACACGGCCAGCTCGCATTCCTAGCTGTCCTTTGGAAGCTCGACTTGGTTGGGCTCGCACGCCGCACACAGTGAACCACATGTCGGAGGCTCTTCAGCTTCTTTGGAGGGAGAGACACGGGCAGTTCGAGGCCTGAGTGACCTGGCTGTCTGCGAGTGCTTCGGCTCCTGTGGTTTAGGTGAGGCTGAGACCTGCCCGCCTCGACGCTTCTTGCTGTGCTAAGGCTGCTAAGGTGCTCCTCAAGTCGTCAGACCTCAGCTAAGGACTCGGCTCTGCTTTGCTGCCTGTCGGCTCTGGTCGCAGTTCCTTTCCTTCGGTTTCCTTTTCTTCCTCCCCTTCCTTTCCTTGGGCATCCTCCTGGACGCCTAGGGGGTGCAGACTACGACCAAGGGTACCTGCACTACAATGCCGTATATATGAGCTAATGCCGTCACTGGTCTGTTTGTTGTCATCACCAAGTGAAAGCTTGGGGTTGCAGAGCATTGATGGCGGATATCGTGGTTGGCCGTGGTTTTTGTGGAGGCAGACCTGTGGTCATAATAGCAGTAATATTGGCCTCTTAAACTGTGCAAAAAGGCACTACAGCGGTCCCAAGAAAGCATCGTCTCTCACATGTTGCCTCAAGGTGAAGAAGAGTCGCGCTTATAAACAAGCAATGCAGACAGAACGCTAGGCAATCTTGACTTGCAAGCAGCCCTTCTCGGTTACGAACCCAACGGCCATCATACCCCACCAGTCCGGCACCACTACAAAATCAATCGCCTCACACAAGCCTGCCCACCACCTGTGCGAAGTGCGACAAAGCAGAACATAAAGCAGTCAAGGTGCAAACGAACAAGCACAGAATGCCAAATCTTGGAAGCTGACAATCCAATTGGCTTTTACGAGTATGTACAAGGTCATTCCACACCCGCTCGTCCGATTTCGATATCTTGCAGATAATTGCAAAGGATTTCGCTGCTCGTGCTGCTCAGCCTGGCAGGAGATCTTTGAAGCTGTCTGCCAGCTTCCAGTTTGGCAGTTCCTGGCATTCCGGCCAAGATTCCTGCCAGAGAGCTCGATGGGTTCTGAAGGTTCTGGACTTCGATTATCTTCGATTGCAGTCCTCACTGGGCAGGCCGGCCAAACCGAATATCAAACCGAGCTGATGCAGCTCGGCCTTCCCCTGCAGCAGCGAAACAGAGTGCAACAGCACGCACATCGTGTCGGGCGAGCCGTTTATATCCGTCTATACTCCGTCTAGTCAAGTCCCAGGCCAGCGCTGCAGCTTCCAGCAACTACACAGTATATGTCAGGTAACAATGATGTGAGTCTTTCGACCCGGCTGCTTTGCGAAACTGGCTGTCTTGCGAGGCCTCGAACAATGGTCGACGCAGCAACAGCTCCCCAAAGACACAGCCAATGCTCCAGATGTCGATCGCACTGCTATAAATCCTGTACAGCATCGACAGCTGATCAAAAACTCGTCGACAAGCACCGAACACGAAACCATTTCCTCTGTCCAAGCAGAATTTCTGGAGCGCGATACCAAAGTGATTGGACCTCGCATCTGCAGCAGATGGGGAGAAAGTTGTGGCCACAAACATGCTGGGTTTGCATGCTCTGGACTGAAAAGTGGATGATGGCTACTTGCCAACTCGTCATGACAATAGCACAGCAAAAACCTTCTGCACCCTCCGACTGTTCCCAATTTGCCCGATATCTGCTCAAAGCATGCCCATCGAAGAAGCCATGCGTCACGCTGGGTGTAGGGGCGCAGCGGCCTGAGAAATACTGCGGTGTTTTCATAGCGCCCGCTTGTATGACCATTAGAGTTTCTGTGGACTTGACACTGGGATGTGGACTGGCCAAAATGACGTGCCAAGCCGAAGTCACAAATCTTGAGGACCCCGTTCCTCAGCTTGACACAGCCGGCAAAGCCAAAAGCACGGTCTCACCTCGTTTCAAAAAAGCTACACCCTAACGACAAAGTTAAAAGCCGGATCCTAGTCCTCAGCCACGTGACTTGTCTAAGAGAATGTTAGATGTTTTGAGGTCGCGGTGCAAAATCCAGCACTGGTGCAGATGCCCAACTCCACGCAGCAGCTGGATAAGCAGGCACTTCATCTCTGCGATTGCAAAGATGTGCTTCGAAAGGAGAACTTTCAACTCGTGCTCCACATACTCCATGACCATGAAGATGTGCTGCAGTGAGTTGCCAACAACCTTGAGGCAGTGCACAGGCACAAAGTTGAAGAACCAAAGCCATGCACTAGTCTGAAGACTTAGGGGATCTTAGAGGGTTTGGAAAGGCGTGGCGTCGTGGTACAGAACAGCCACTAAAGTCACTAAAGCAAGAGGCATGTCGGCGGATCGCAATCTCGGGACAGAAGTGCGGACGCAACTATCTAACATGCCATACATGTAAGCGAAGGCTGAGCTTCGAGCAACCTCCCTGCATCGCACGACGTTGGGGTGCTGAATCTCCAGCAGGACGGAGATTTCGCGCAAAGAAGAGCTTGGGAAGCCGTCGTCTGATTTAACTGCCGTCAGCTTCAGCTGCTTGAGGGCGACAACCTTGAACACCGATGTCCTACTAGGTTGCTATGAGTTATATGATAGTTGCAACTGTCACGCCCAAAAGTGCGAACACAAGCCCGACAGACAAGTACGAGAGGGACCAAGGCTGGGAGAACATGTGCTTGATTGAGCATGGTCAACTACTGTTCCAAGAATTCGCGTCCTCCTTTCGGAGCGCTGACTCAACATGGGATTCGAACGCACGCGCTTATGTTGCACGAAAGCTCCTGTTGCCTCTGATGCCTTTTCATAGCCAAGCACATTCTCCGACGCCAAGGTACTGGCAAGATATTACAAAATGTGACAGCCATGCATGTGAAGCATACCCTGGCAGTGACACGTTTCGCATGATTAGCATAGACAAGCGCAGGACAGCAACTGCCGGCGGTTCGGAGCCCGAAGCTTCTTTGGGCACCATCGCTGCGACGGTCGGCTTGCATTGAGGCGATCACTGTATAGACTGTATAGTGCGATTACCAGGTGCGTGACGGTGAGTGCAAAACAAGAACAAGTCAAGTTCCCCGCTTAAGGGCCAAATCGGACCCAAACCCCATAAAGCAGCTCCCATGATGGATTTACAACGGGCGCATTTCATTCTGAATCTCAGCGTGCAGCTTCTCCGGTCTCCACATCGCAGGCCCTGTAAACCACACCATAAGTGCCCTCATCGATTCGGTTAAGCTTTCGGTATTGCTGAACACTCCGGCACCCAGGGATCACTGGCCCAAATCCAGCATCAACTTGTGCTTGCGTTCGTTGTCGTTTCGCTCCACTCAGACAGCTCATCGCCAATCATCATGGGAACAATGGAACTGTAAGCAGGCCCTCCTATGCCAAGGCTGCAGAAAGGCAAGATGGAGATGGAAAACCTGCGATGATAATCTGCTACGCGTAGAAACCTGTATTTCGCTGGAAGCCTCTGACGTACCGGCACCTTTTCTTACCGAGGGCACTTATCTTGCGAACATGGCCACGGACAACATGCATGCACTCAGCCCAGACCTTCGGAGTATACGCTCTGTGCAGGTTTGCAGACCACCATCACTCAAGAAATAGCTGCTAGCTGCGTTTGCTCTCTTGCGAATCTCATTTGGTTGGATGTCCCAAAACCTACAAGATGGTTGAGGGCAGCGGTTGCTGCTTCAAAACGTAGAGAGTGAAACTACCGGTAAGGTCATGCAGTGCTCGTACTCGTACAGGGCATGGCTTCGAAAGGGCTCAGCCCGCTGTCACGGTGACTCGTCGATCCGCCATCCTCAGAAAGAAACGGAGACGCAGCCACGTGTTTGAGACAGTTGGATGCTACTTCTTGAATGACAAAATAGGTCCAAAAGAGACCTCGTCCTCAGCCCGGCGCGCGTCCAACACAGCTATCCCTCCTGACAAAGGCCGATCTTTGCCTAACGGAGCGGCGAAGAACAGGCTTTGCTCATACCAAGGGTCCAAGCCATGAGCCCCCAACCTCCGCAGCCAAGGTCCGGTGGAATACCCAAAAACGCCATTTGCGGCCTTGCACTTGGTTGGACGAACTTATGTCGAGCTTCTTGAGAAACATGTGAAGACAGCTGGCGCCAGTATGTTCTGTTTGTGTGGATGACTTGGAGTTCCCAGTGATACGTGGTTTCGTTTCTAGCATTTCCAACCAGAACCCTAGACTGCGAAGCAGCACTTTGCTGAAACCCACGACCAAAACCTCGACTCTACGCAGCCCAACACGCAAAGTCATGTGCCTCCACCCTACAACCAGGACCTGAAAAGCCCAACGCTGAACCTGAACGAAAAGCAAAGCCTCGATTCTTGGCTTGCATGCAGGATGAGGAGTCGAAATTGCAAAATCGGCCTTCCAGCATTTGAGGTTTAACCCGAGCTTCGATTGAAACCAACAGCATTTTGAAAATCACTGGAGGCTACACTCGTGCTTCGGACGCAACTCTAAAACTGAGCTTTTGACTCCGAGCTCAGACATGCTGTTTCCAAGAATCTGGCAGAGTAGGCTTTTGCTTCGAAGATTGAGCACGTGACACTCTGGAGGAAGCTGGTCGACCTGCTCCAGACGGTGGGATGCATGTGATGCTAGGGCTGACTTCCATCATCAGAAATCATGCCATCCGATCTTCGTGGGCAAACATGCAAGCTTTCCACCTTCGTGCAAAATGCTTTCTATATGGAATGATGCTTTGTCCATCTTGGTTCCATGTATAGTACCGGATTGGCATTGGCGCTACACTAATCATCGCTTTTTGTATGCTGAAAATCTCCTCGGCCCCGGCCGAAGCGGTCAGACTTTCTTACAGGAATCTCCTCGTAGTCCCTTCCAATGTTCCACCCCCCTTATCCTGGCCACCTGGACCCCCACCCTCCTTCCCTCTCAACCTTTCACAGTCCCCCAATGGATTTCGGTTGTTTGTGATCGTCCCTCCCCCCTCCCCCTTGCCCCCGAAGTTCCCCCACACCTGCGGGAATGTTTGAGCTAGCTGTTGGTGTGAACAACCACTTGAGCCAATATGAAACAGAGTATACAACAATGAATGCAGCGGCCATGTCATGATGTTACATGTCATAGCTGAAAGCACTCTGCCAAGGCCTGGGGGCTCCAACGCATTTAAAGTTTCAATAAGACACTCATTTTCTTTCGCTGTAAGCCTGACAGGATTCTTCGACTATGACTATGGCCATCGCACTCATAGCTGCATACAATCTTTGGTCTCGTCAGGCAAGCGTTTGGCAGAGTAAGTTTTTATGCTACATAGACATACATGTCTTCAAAAACACACAGTTGCGGCGCGCACTCTTCTTTTGTTTCATGTTTGGGAAAACCACTATCTGACTGCACATGATCAGGTCCTGTTCGGCTGATCAAGATTGCGTGAGGGTTTGTTGTCGAGATTCTCTTGGTTGCCCACCTCACAGAGCTGATGGGTATAGCTTGTGGCTGCCAATTGTTGAGGTAGTGGTTGACAACTAGTATCCGTTTTTTTTCACAAGGGACTCGACTGCTGCCCTTACTGCCCAGCTTGACCCACAAGACAGTACTCATGACAACTAGTATCCGTGATTTTGTGAACTTTTGAGTATACCGCGCTGGTGTTGTGATGTCATAGTTGACGAGCAACTCGATGGTCGTGGTCGTTGTAACGTTCATTCCATTGATCATCATCAGTGCCACTGGATCAATATACAGATACTCATATTCACCCGTAGTCGCTGGATAGGTTGCCGGGTTGAATGCATCTCGTGGAATTCCCATCTGTTGAGCACCTCTCATGAGCTACGAGAGCAATTGATTGGTTCGGACTTTCCGGAACAAGAAGTGCCGGTCGGGGTCCGCAGGATCATTTAGATTTCGCGCATAATCCAGGCTCTCCTCGTCGGTGACGTCCCGATCTCGCAGAGAGTAGGCCGATGCCCCGGAACATCGTATCGATTCCCCTTCTGGAACATGGCATACATTGGCATACATGTGCTCATACTTCATGGTTGTCGCACTTAGTGTTCCCGTTCCCTGCAGCGTTCCCAATCCACGACTTGTAGAATGGTGAGAAGCTGCCGAGAAGCAATTTTCGACTCTCACACTCGCACAAGGCAGGCAAGGCTCCACATAGCTCGGTCTCCGCAGCAACAACTCAGAAGACGCACAAGCCAAAGAGAAAACAAGTCACTGAGACCATAACCACAGATACTCTCTCCAGTTATCGCACATGCTCCACTACGGTGTCATGAGACATTCCTAATCTGTTTCAAAAGTGCTTTCATCAAGTTATTCCCAGTTGCAACACCGAGAAGCAGTGAGAAGCTGAGAAACACGAACTCAACGCAGCCGTCGCTCCAGAAAACACCACAGCACAGTCAAACCCTACACTCACGTCTGGCCGTCTGTAGTATGTTGGCAAGCCCTGATCTGTGGAGCTGGCCTGCTGCAGGTTTCGGGGCACGAGGCCTGCGAAGTTGATGCAATGCGAGCAGTGACATCAACTCGAGCCAAGCATGTCAAGCCTTTTGCAGGATGCGGTCCTAGGCAAGGGGGGTTACACAGTTGCTTCATGCCGTCGGGCTATGTAGCGGGGCGGATTCCGGGATGCCAGCAACCCGAAGCCGGAACAAAAACCGACGACGACTGTGCGCACTAAAACATTCCAACTGGCACCATATTCGTCGTAGAGCGACTGTGCATTTCTGGTCCTACTGGAAACTGCCACTCGCGCGTGTCCAGTACGAGGCTTTTGATCTGTTCTCTGGCTCTTTGCGGCTTGCTTGGCGTGTAGACGTGCGGCTTTCGGGCTTCAAGTGGGATGGGGCACGGTGCCGCTCAACCGCCACCAGGTGCCCCTTGAGACCTTTAGCGAGTTGGTAGTCTACAGATTCTACCTCGACCACATCATGCTGTCTCGAGGGCGAGATGTACGCATGCTGGATTATTGAAGACCGGATGCGGCACTGAATCTGCATTTCCTCAGGTTTTAGAGCTGCCACAATTGCTGCTCGCACGGCCTGTACCATTTGGCCAGCCAGTCTGATCTTGCTGTGAGAGCGCGCAATCGTCCATGACGGATGAAGCTTGCAGTGTCGAGCGAATCATTCCCATAAGATTAGCCCGTGGCAAATCGAGAGCATTGCCAAGCGATGTTCGTTCCATGTGTTCTTCAACTGCAGGTCCTCTAGATGTGGCATTCGTGAATGGCTTGCGGACCGGACTTGCTTGAGAACTTTCCCAGACGGGTCCCAATGTTGGCAGAACGTTGCTCACTTCAACAAATATGGCCAAGGAACACTGACTTCCGGCGTGGCTCTTCGGATGACGCCTCAGGGATTTAGGCAGAAAGCCTGAAAACAAAACATAACCGGAGATCCCTGCCTCAGAAGACTGAGCTGCCTCAGTGACCTGAGCTGATGCACGAGAAACTGCGGTTACGTCAGCTCCATCTCCATCCCTACCTCTCTCGTCGGATTCGCCTTGATGTCTGTCGACCAAGCCTGCAAGCAAGGTCAAAGTGTGTTGTACCAGCCGTCTGCAAGCACCGGCCACTTCGGTTGACTGTGGCTCAGCACAAGCAGCGAGTGGCCAAACTTGTTTTGCATACATGCGAGTTGGAATGAATACCAGGAGCAATCAATTCCTGCCTCTCCCATGACTCTGATTGCTGTGAGGATGCTGTGATCTGTTGTGGCTCCATGTCATCTCATGCTATCTTGCAGCTCGCCGGAAGTGGCCACGACTTCCTCACAGTTCTCTTTCTCTCCAGCACGCACATACCAGCCCCTTCCCTCCCCCCGATTTCTGAGATATGGCAGGCATGAACATTAAGATCATTAAGTCGGCTCACACTACAGGCCTTCTTCTGTGCCCGTCGGTACTCAGGCGACCCACATGTTAATTAATCTCCTTGCCTTTTGAGCCTTTTCGGATTGACTTCAAAGAATCAACTTTCCACTGATAATCCACGCTCATTCCTTCAGGCTTGCTGCACAAGCTTCTTGCGAGTTGGTCAGGCCTATATGACATGACACGAAGAACGGCCCTGTCACATCTTCTCGGCAGGCACACAATCCCGGACATCTTGAATTGCACGCCGTGCATAGACCGGCAAGGCAATCCACGAGTCGGAGAAGCGCACAACCGAATCAGGCCGGAGACGCATCGATGGCCACTTGGGGCACTTCAGGTGAAGGAGCCGCGTGCGAGTAGATGCAACTGTCTCCATGTGGACCTTGGCAACAGCCTACGATGGACTGCGCTTGTGAAGTTCTTGCTTTGCACTCGCAGCAATGCATGGAAGCGAAGACGAGTGCGTAAGGTCCTGGCAGAAGCCCAAGACTGCAAAAAATCGACAAGGTATCATCTTGCAGGAGCGGGGCCTTGGTGCAATCAGCAAGCGTTGTACTTCAACGAACAATGCAGAATGTCCAATTCTGTTGGTGGAGAAGATATTGTGGCACATTCGCATTCCAGGTAGCCGTCGACTTTATCCGGAGGAAAAGTATTCCTGGATATTCCAGGACAGCGCAATTTTCGTTCCCACGTAAACACGAGAGCCAGCGGAAATGTGCGCTTTTCCAGCAGCTATGCGAGCCCAACAAAGCGGTACCAATAGCCTAAAGTTGCGGTGTTCAGGGATGCCCGAAAACATGCCTGCTATCGATCTGTAGTGCCAGAAACCCAGGAAGAAACAGCAGGCTCCTCACACATGATGGTCTTGGATCTCTATTATATGGGCGACCTGTGCATAAGTGAGACTGAAGCTCAGCAGTCGTGAACTTGTACTCCAGCACAAGTGATGGCAGAGTGTGCGCACCAACAACCCCACAAATAATATTGTCTGCGTTCCGCATTCGAATCATGCTGTACGATGAAAGTTCGTAGCAGCATGTCCCTGTCGACATCGAAACCACCACGATCTAATTACTGTAGATTCCGAGGCAAAACTGCAGGCCTTGCCATGCTGCTGTGATTCACAACTTCGCCTCCCTTCAAGATGCTTGAGAGCTGGGCGCGTTTGCACAGTACAGCGGATCAAATTCTCGTCGTGGGCGGCATACTTCATGTACATAGGTACAACTTGGCCTCAGCGGTTCAATTGCCTGCCCCCGGATTTTTTGGAGCAGAGGGAGGACTGAGGCCCTCTACAGCCGACAGAAACCTTTTGCACGAACTCGTGGACAAAAGGTCAAGCCTGGCACCAGAACAGACACCACTGCCTCTCGGAACACAAACATGCCCGTCTTGCGTCTCTCCGGCTCTGCATCTGGAGGGAGCTCTCGGTTCTGAGTGGAAGCACAACATCCAGATTCCACACTGTGCAAAGCCAAAAACATAAGGTGCCGACGTCGACCAGGCCCTTGGCACTGGGAATGTCCTAAACAGCACAGGATCGTAAACTGCCGTGTCGCCAAATGCACTTCCTCCCGAGGTGCAGACAACTTTCAATTCGAAGCCAGGGGCTGCCGGTGCAGGCGGCGTCGATCGGACTGAACCTGGTCGGTCACGATGTCTAATTCGACAATCAGGTTTCAGTACGAAGCCATTGACTCGGGCCATAGCGCTGCGGATCAGCCAGTATGGGCTGCACTTGTGGCTGCCCTATAGCTGCGTAGCCTGATAAAGGCCATTCCAAGACAAGGCTTTCCGTGTCTTTCTGCTTTAGCAGATCTCCGACTACCCGGGCGCGCGCCCGCACGTTCACGCTCGTTGGAAAAAGCATCCCAACGTATCCCAACATGGCTCCAAGACGAAGCGAAAACAAAAACATTTATAAACCTTTCTTGGAGCTGGCAAATGGCCGGCCCACGGTTTGCCTGCAGTTTCTCTTAGCAGTCATTCCGAGGGAATCTCAGCAGTGGCGACGATGAAACCCAAGTCAAGAGGCGGCAGCGCGAACAGCAACCAGCACTTGCTCACGTAGCCAGTAAATGCACTTGCTGAGAATACTAGTCTGCCGCTACTCGGGACACCCTAGAAACCCACTGACAAAAAGAAGGATGATGCATCAGGGACCTGAAAGTTGTGCACTGAAGAATCCGTCATTGTGTGCCGCTCCCATGTCGCCAGGCTCGTCCAAGCAAGGCATTCTCCCCCGGCCCACGTGATCCGTTTTCGATATCCCCCACTGTAGGCTTTCTTTCTGGCGCAAGACAACTTCTTCACTTCTTCTTTGCCCGGTGCATCAGCTGCTGGACGTTTCAGCGATGTCAGATCCGCTCCTGGCTTGCGGTCGCAGCTTCCTCAACGCTCCGATAACACACGGGAAGTGATCTGTCAGCTTGGCGTTCGGACAGTGGTATTAATCGATGTGTTGACATCGGCAGCTTAGTCTTAGACGCTCTAAGCTCCGAGCTAGCATGTATTCCACCACCAATGGAGGCCACCCACGGCCTCGATGTAAACAACTCAATGCAGCAGCATGCAGGCAGAAATGAGACAGCTTGGGCCCAGCGTCTGACCGATTTGTCGGTCTGTCAAATCACACAACGTGTTCTAAGCGCGCGATTGCAGGATAGTGCAGAAGCATGGCATGACGGTCCGTCCGTGCCTCCCCACTTTGTGGGACACGCACTGCTAGGTCGTCTTGGCCTTGTGGAAACGCTGAAAGAAAAACCAATGTTCCTTGTTAGCAGATGCTACTGGTGGTTGGCCAGCCATGGGCATGCCAATGAGCTGTTGGATCGAATCTTGCACAGGGTCGTGTATCAAATTGGCCTTGTTTTGCGTCAAAATGGCGTTTTTTTGATGTCTCGGCTCACACATTGCATAGTCTCGACCACGTAACGGTCACTTTGAGGTGGCTACGAAGGAGGACATCATTTCAAAAGCCAAAACCCTTAACCTAATCCCTAAACCCTAAACCCTAGCCCCTAGCCCCTAAAGCCTGAACCCTAAACACTGAACCCTAAACCCTTAAACCCTACCCTAAACCCAGACCCTAAACCCTAAACCCAAGTCTCGGCCGAGTCCCGCCCGAGTCTCGGCTAACCCTACTTCCTAAAGCCCAAACCCTAAACCCTAAACCGTAGAACGTAAAGCCTAAACCCTAAACCTTAACCCTAATCCCTACCCTCTCTCTCTCTCCCCCAGGCATTAAACCATAATTCCTAAACCATTAACCCTAAAAACCCTCTCCATCATATGTAATTTAAATACCTTAAACCCTAACCCTAAACCCTAGACCCTCAACTCCAAACCCTAAACCTAATCCGTAAACCCTAAACCCTAGACCCTAGACCCTAAAGCCTGAACCCTAAACCCTGAACCCTAAACCCTAAATCCTGGACCCTAAACCTTAAACGTTAAACCATAAACCCTGAACCCTAAACCCTCAACCTAAACCCTAAACCCTTTAAGCCCCCTAAAACCCCTAAACCCCCTTAACCCCTAAACCACCAAAACCGCTAACCTAAACCCTAAACCCAGACCCTAAACACTAAACCCTAAACCCAAGTCTCGGCCGAGTCCCGCCCGAGTCTCGGCTAACCCTACATCCTAGAGCCCAAACCCTAAACCGTAGAACGTAAAGCCGAAACCCTAAAACCCTCTCTTTCATATGATTTTAAACCTTAATTACTTTCGCGGTTTTTTGTTCACTTTTGCTCTTTTTTGAACAAATTCCGCGAAGCGATGGCATTAATTCGGCTAGATGACCGCCATCCGTTCGCGGAATTTGTTCAAATTAAAAAAATCCGCGAACGGCGATCGCGGAATTTGTTCACTGACCGCCCGCTGTTCGCGGAATTTGTTCATTTTTGAACAAATCCCGCGAAGCGATGGCAGCGATGGCAGCTATGGAGGGTTTAGGGTTCGGGTCTCAAAAACCTCAAAAATATTTTGATATAAAAACGGAACCTTTTGATGTTGTGGGATTCAGGGGTGGGTGGGTGTTATGTCTAAACCTTAAATGTAACTGTACTTAAAAACTGTTGGATCCCAAACCCTAAACCTTAACCCTAATCCCCTACCCTAAAGCATAAACCCTAAACCATAAACCCTAAGCCCTCTCTATCATATGTAATTTAAATACCTTAAACCCTAAACCCTAAACCCTAGACCCTCAACTCTAAACCCTAAAGCCAAAACCCTTAACCTAATCCTTAAACCCTAAACCTAAATCCTAGACCCTAGCCCCTAAACCCTTTCTTGAACCCAGACTCTGCCAATCAGCTGGGAAGCAGCACTTCCAGACTATTGCATCCGGGAAGCGTCGCCAAACTCTAAACCCTTTTTTTACACCTGGACTATGCATATGCCAGGAACCGAGGCGCCGACTGTGCTGTGGACTCGTGCCACACGGCTACCCCAGATTGCAAAAACTGATCAACTGGTCATCTCAAGTTTCAGGATGCAACGACCATGTGGCTACAACTCCAAGATCCTTAAAGATTCGGGATGTAATTGCAGGGATATCAGGCAACAGCACATCACCCCAACGAGCACTGACGAGGACGTCGAGGTTAAAGAAATTCCGCGAAGCCTTAAGAAGATGTAGAGCGTCAACAATATCAGACTCAATGCTAAGTACCATGGAGCCGTACTCCGGGTCCAGCCAGGCCATGTAAAGACAGCCATTGCAAGGAAAGAGTGCTACAGACAGGTACCACGTGACGCACTCAGAGCTGCGGAAAGCATCCCTCCAGGACGACCACAACAGCTCCGAAAAGTACCCTGTGTGCATCACATACGAAAGTGCTACGGTGTCAGCTCTGGCATTCCAAGCTGCCTTGTCCATGGCAAGAGAGCGGAGATCATCTAGCCCTAAACATCCGCAGATACCGAGCCCGAAACTGAAGATCGTATTCCACGGAGCAGGCACAGCTTGCTTATGCTGAGCGGGGTCAGAGCAGAAAAGCAGCGTAGACTCCAAGGCAGTTTCGTTCCGCCGCAAGCAGTGACCCAAATAACACCATTTTCGTCTGACCACAAGGTAGGACCAAGACTTACGTGGAATGACCGTCAACAGCTGTTTAACGCACCTCCTCCTCTGCCTGTTAAGGGTCATCGCCTTGGCTTGCGCAAGGTCAGAAGGAAGGTACAGCTTGAGCATCAACAGGAGCATTGTGCAGTTCATGACACCAATAGCATCAAGCACATATTGCAAGGGTTCAAACATCGGTCCAAACCAAGCCCATTTGGAAAAGATGTACCGGTTTACCATGCGTAGAGCAGTGTGCACATCGCTCCAGTTGCAGCATTTAGCCGGCGCAGCGAGTGTTTCCCATCCCGCGTGCGAGAGAGCACGAGCGGCAGACAAAGCCCAGTCCGACAGATTGGTGGCCCCAACGAAGTGCTTGAAAGGTTTGCGCAAGTAGAGCCCCTCCTGAACCCATTTACAACGAAAACCAGGATGATCGGGATCATCCCTGAAGTAAGCGAGTCCGTCCTCCAGGAGACTGGGATGCACGATGAGGTAGGTTTTGCTCAGATTGATACTCAAACCAAGCTCCTGAAAAGCAAGAAGCAAAGAGGAGAAGCCCTTCTTGTAATCGGACCAGCCCAAGAAGTTGAGGATACAATCATCTGCGAAGGCCCAGCCGTGTAGCGGCCGTCCCATGGCATCACGGTGCCTAGCCCGAATATTTTCATGTGTATCCCAGGAACAGAAAAGTGCATCGAGTGCCTCTCCCAGGATCAAAGCAAATAGTCCCGCGCTAGGCGGAGAGCCCTGTTGAATGCCGGTGCTCGTGAGCTCTGTCCAGGCGTGGCCTCCCCAATGGAAGACCATGTAGGACTTGAGATATTCAAACAGTGCAGCAGCCTCTTTGGAGAGCTCCGGGGGCCCGCTGATGAGGTATTCAAGAATCCGCGATCTTCGCAACGAGTCGAAAGCTTGTGCAACATCAACCAACAACCATAAACCCGGTTTCGCAGTTTTGTACTCAACATAAAGAAGCTGCTGTGCGAGAAACAATGCGGAAAGAGTCTGGCAACCTGGCAAGGCACCTTTCTGGGCTTGCGGGATGCGGCAGCGTGCAACCCATCTTCTGAACAGGAGACCCGAGCACAGCTTCAATGTAGACTCCAATAGGGCAATGGGTCTGAGGTCGGAGGGGAGCTTGATGTCGGGTTTCTTGGGGATCAAACACACAAAAGCTCTAACATAGTCTTCTGGAGCAGCTTGGGGGCAAGACAGCATCATCGTCAAATGGTTGCACAAGAAGCTGATGCCATCCTCATCCCGAGAGAGTGCTGCCAGGAGCTCATTGGGTATGCCACTCATACCAGAAGTTTTTCTATCGTGACTGTATTTGCAGACATGGGCCCGAACTTCAGCAGGAGAGATAGGCAAAAGCACACATTGAGAAGCCTTGGCATGTAGATCGCCTAGAAGCTGGGAGCAGCGATCCATCTCCCCCTGAGAAGCTGAAGCCAGCACTCGTCGAAAGTGTGCCTGTATGCTTTCCGCAGCTTTCAGCTTGGAGCCCTGAGCCAGAACCAGATTAGTATCGTTAGCCTTAAGCTGCGCTCGTCGTTTGAGGTACCCTATGGCTTCAGAATGACCCTGTCCCGCAAGGCTCTCCAAGTGCTTCCACCACTCCAGCTTTTCATGAGCCCTGATGGCCAAAATGACTCTACCAAGACGGCTCCGCTCACTGGAATCCCGTGTGCCACGTTTCAAAGCACACAAAGCCTTGAGATGATCACTGTCACGAAATTTGAGCGAGGGTCTTGAAACGCAGCACATCCCAGAAAGCCGCTGAAGGGCATTCCACTGCTGTTTCAGCGTGCCGTGGAGATGGGGCAGTATCAGCGTCTGTATTGCGAAACCCTAAACCCTAAACCCTCAACCCTGAACCCTAAACCCTTTAAGCCCCCTAAAACCCCTAAACCCTCTTAATCACCTTAAACCCCTAAACCACCAAAACGCCTCCTAAACCCTAAACCCTAAACCCTGGACCCTAAACCCTGGACCCTAAACCCTAAACCCTAAACCCCAAAGCCCAGTCTCGGCCGAAGTCCCGCCCGAGTCTCGGCTAACCGGCTAACCCTACATCCTAGAGCCCAAACATGCCCAAACCCTCAACCCTAAACCCTAAACCCTAAACCGTAGACCGTTAACCCTAAACCCTAAACCCTGAACCCTAAACCCTAAACCCTTAAGCCTAAAGCCTAAACCCTAGACCCTAAATAGACCCTAGACCCTAAACCCTAGACCCTAAACCCTAAACCCCCTAAACCCGAAATCCAAAACCCTGCCTAAACCGTGAAGCCTAGGCGTACCACCTGTATCCGTTTTGCAGTGACCGTGACCTGGTCGAGACTAGGCAATGTGTGAGCCGAGACATCGAAAAAGGCCATTTTGATGCAAAAAGAGGCCAAATTGATCCCAGACCCGCATCAGATGCCAAACTTCTGTAGGAACCTACAGAAATTGTAGGATGTGGGGGCACAAGGCAACTGGGAAAAGAAGCTGCAAACCAAAATGTATACAATAAAAAACGATAACTAGTGGACGGGAAGGCCAGCACAACAACCTGGGTGAAGGACAGCTGACAAGAAACTCACAGCTTCAAATGAAGCTGGTGAGGATGGTTCCAAAAAACCCAAAAAAAGCGCGATGACACTAGGACCTCATCATGAGCTAACCCAGCTTTAACAATTGCTACGGCAGCTTATATCGAATCGGTGATTTGCACAATGCACACAGGACTATCAGCCTGCTTCTCAGCCGGCGACACCGCCGCCTACCGAGTGGAACGGCATAGCCGAAGGCGGCCGAGGCAGCGGCCCTTTGCAAGTTTCTGGTCTGGCCTTACCAAGCCGCAAAATCCCTCAGTGGCTCAATGGCTCGGCATGGCTCGGCTCAGCCAAAGTACTTGGAATCCACGGACAGCTGACCTGAAGTGGCATCAATGGACACAATGGCAGTGGCAATGCTTCGCTGTGTTTAGAGTCTAGGGCCTCGGTCTTCGAGCTGTTGGCTCAGGTGACATGCACGCAGCCTGGGCCAAAACATTTTCAGCCGCGTGTTGAACTCCGAATCTGCTATCGCTGGGCCACGTACTCAAATGACCGGCCGATGCTTTGCGGCGCTGTTCGCGGCAATGCATCAGAGACACTTGCAAACAGAAAATGCAACAGACGCGATGTTGTGAGAAGCCTTGTCCGAAGTGTCCGAACGAGAATGCGAGCAAACGCATCGCAAAACTCATGACGAGAGCGCAGAGCATTTTTCGGTTCGGCAGCGGCACAAAATCCATCGCCTGCTCACATTGCCTCGAAAAGCATGTGATGCCGACTGATGCGCCTTGCCACGCATGCACGTTGCGCCGTATAAATGGTGAAACATGTTCCAGTGTACAAGCAATGAACACGAAAAAGTGCTGTGGAGCTATGTTTTCTTTAAATCATACCATGTCTGACTTCCATTCTTCTTCTGCATCGCAACAGATACCTGAACCAGCAATGCACATTATAAGCACTTGCGTCACAATGCAAATTGACCTTCGCTTTCTCCACATTGGTTCGGAAAGAAGAAGTCTCTGGCCTCAGGCGTGCCACTACTGGTGGTCGCATTCGTCCAACACACAACATCTGTATTGAGAAATATTGAGAACTTGAGTGCAGGGCACGATGTCACTGTATAGCGGCTCCACTTTACACACGTAAACAGCCTCGGCAGCGCAACACAGGAGTGAACAGAGTCGAGGCGTGGCACATGCACCCACCCCTCGTTTACGTACAACTCCGCATGTGAGGATCTCTGGGGATTGTGCGCCAGACGTTGGGGTGACCTGCCGGCTTCGAGCACTGGACGTTTGCGAACATCTATGTTGAGACCCTTGCTTTCGCAGCGCTTGCAGATAATTGCCTGGATGTGCAGTCTGCGCGGTGCGAAATCGCAAGTCACTTGCGACACATCTTGCAGCACATCAGGTGGCAGCTGCACGTATACTTTCACTTTCGTGCCTGGCCAGTATGCTCCTCAATCAACATAACTTACGGCATAAACATGTCAAGCCCACCATCATCGGTCCACGAGAAATTGCGCAACGTGTGGACTTGTCGTTCGCTGCTTTGTTCAAACTGACCGGCTTCGACCTCCAGTTTGACTGGTGGCCCGCCTGCATGCTAACATCGTATCCGATGCCGCACTGGGGAACGTCCCGTGCCTGTGACAAGCCCAGGTCCAGAAATCACGCGTGCCTCCGGCGGCACCTGACAAGCCACGCATTTGTCACGCCCAAGGCTAACACTGACCGGTCAAACCTTTTCAATCCTATTGACCCGACGGCACCTCGAACTGGCGGTTGTGTGCATAGTAATATGCATTTTCGCCTTTCGATCTTCGACCAAGCGACACAGCTGACCACCCGCACATCAACTTTGCAGAACGTGCCTTTGGATTGAATGTTTTGTCTCAGCGCAGACGCCTGATCTGAATATACTGCATGCACCTATGTATATACATAATGATATGTACATAAATATAAATATACGTATGAATTTGTGTATATATATATATACACACATGTACACATACAGTATATAATACATATACATCTTTTCCAGATGCTGCAAAGGAAGTCTTCGTTTGGCGAGCCGTTGTGACAGGTGGCCAACCCGGCTCGTATGAACTCTGTGCCTTGCACAGATCGGAAACGTGCAAAAATTGCAATCGGCACTGCTGGAAAGCGGATCTCTTCGACGCTGTGGCACGGATGCCCCATTACAGCGTCGCGACAGCAGTTGCAAGTCGCTGATAGAAGTGCACTTCTGAGAAGATGCAATCTGGCAAAGTATGGCAAGGCTCAGGCTTTCTCCCATCCTCGCAGTAGAGATGCGGCGACTCCGGCCGTTGGGTAGTGCCAGTACATATACAAAAACATGTTTGGGTTTCCTCCTTCTCCCTGCTGCAACAAGCATCTTTTAGAAGCGCTGCTCGGTGCACATGTCCACACATCGTCAGCCTGCAAACACACCTCAGAACCAGCCATTTGGCGGGCGGGAGGGAGGGCCCAGAAAACTTCAGTCTCGAATATGTCACCAAAACATGATCCCTGCCGCAAAAAGCACTTTTTAGAACCGCTGCTCGGTGCACAAGTCCACACATCGTCAGCCTGCAAAGACACCTCTCGAAGCCACAGCTGTCGTAAGTTCAGAAAAAAAAACCAGTTGAAGTGAAGTCGAAGAGGTCGTCAGCAGAACCACCCATATGGAGCCACCGGCTGTCTCGAAGAGCCAACGCGTCCGAGGCTCGTTTGCCGAAGCGCAGCAGCAGCGGTGAGAAAGGAGCCGCATAACTCAAGGCACCAAGGAACGATACAGCGTAGCCACCTGCTTAATCGTGCGTGTGAGTCGGGGCCGGCCTCTAAAAGAGAGTTGAGAGCAGCCACTTCTTGCAGGTAGTGTTCCAAAGTGCCGGCGAGGGGGGCAAAAGAAACAAGCGTGGGACGGCTTATCCCGCTTATTTCCTGAAAACAAGAGCCCAGAACAGAAACCCGGCGCCGAACCCTAGGCGGAACTTCCGTGGCTCCCAGCTCTTGCACATAAGTTTCCGGCATGCGAAAAGACTTCCAGACTCTGCAGCCTCGGCGGGTTTTCGTCCCAGCTTCTGAAAAGACAGGTGGCGGCACCCGGTCGTAAACTGGAGGGAAGAAACGGTGTGCCCTCCAGGACCTCTGTCTGCAGTGCATCAAAGCGCAGCTTGAAGGCCGCCCAAGAACCATTCCAAATCTCCGGCCAGGTGTCGAGGGCAGAACGTCTGCGATCCAGAATCCAACTGGCCACTCCTGGATGACCCGAACATGTTGTGAAGCAGCCGCTCGGTGTCGCATCTTTGCTTCGTCGTCGAAGTGATCCCCCGGCAATGCCAGATCCTGACGTCGCAGCCCAATAATTTCGGCAGGTCTCAACGAACCATAAATAGCCAGAATTAAAGCCACTGCCATCCTCGGCCACTTCCACAGCTGCGCAGTAATTGCAAGCGCATACACCACCATGAGTGGCATCGGAGGATGATGCTGCACAGGCTCCAGCTGCTCCCACGCGCGAATTAGATTCCAAGGCCCTGCAAGCGAGAATCTCAGCCATCCATACTGTTGCACTAAATAAAGCGTTCAGAGTCTCCGACGCTGCACGCCTGCTCTTGTGCTCCAGAAACATTGTGATCATATATTTCTCTAACCATTCGCACAAAACCTCGATGTGCGTCCTGGCCAGCTCGTCCAAGGAATACTGGGGCACACGTGGTTGAAGCCAACTCGTCAGGTCCTTCAA